TAAATATTAAATAAAATTATATTTTTTGTATAATACCCTAAATATGCATTAGATATTAGTATATATATTTGATTTGTCTTTTGAATTTTAATTCTTCATGTCTCTTCTTTTAATAAAATTTAATGCCTTTATAAAATTATGAATTATAAATATTGTATAGACATTATATATTTAACATATATTTTAATTCTACCTATATAATCAATAACCTTTACCTTTTATTTTCTTGAGATTGAAATAAAAATTGACTCATGCTTTTAATAAAATTTTCTAACCAAATAATTAATTAGTATTAAGTTTTGTTAAAAAAAAATAAAGAAAAATATAAAAAAAATTTTAATTTTTTAAAAGTTAAGTCTACTCAACCTAATCTAAAACTCGTGTGGATGAATCATGAATCTTCCCTTTTAATCCAACATCCAAAATGACCTAATTAAAAAAAACCCAACATTCAAAACAATCTAATCCAATCTCATCCAATCCGACTTGTTTGCCAGGACTAGTCAAGACTTGAAAGTTAACAATCTTAGAACACCAAGGAACTGACTCCTAATGTGAAAAACATTAACACAAAAAAAAAAAAAAAAAATGTAAATGGGAAACATCGTTTTGTTTTATAAATGATTGGAATTCTCTCCTTATAAAATTACCAATAAAGGGGCTTTCAGCCCGTCGATAGCGGTACAAGACAAACACTAGTCTAAAAACCAAATCAATAATGCCAGCAACTCGCAGGTGGAACGACTTCCGAAAGGAAAAATCTTTTAGGGAAGAAGGTTTGGCATGGAACCTGTGGCCAATAATCTTTATCACTTGGTATAGAGAACATCCTCCCATGGGTGACGATATAGAGGCTGCTTCAATCTCTTCTGGTCAAAGGTGTGCCTGAGATATCACAAGAGAAGCAGGTTAGAGAAGTCTACCTTCTTTATCTCTTTCCCTTTGAAGGATCCTTGTACCAAACAATGAAGTTTGTTGGTACTTGTGTAAAGAAAACAAATGGAACTGACTGTAATCCATCTACTTTGTTATGGAATCATGCAAGTAAAGTTCAACTTATCGAACATTGTGAATTTGGGATTGAAAATACTGGAGAGGTTCTTAAATCCAATAGCGCATCTATCAAAATTGTGGGTTTGATTGCTACCAGGTGTAAGTATAAAGCAGAATCAAACAGGAGTAGACATGAAACTTACCCAATCAAACCAATGGATCGTGCCAAGACAAAGAGTCCATTCAGATATCCAATCTCAACTATCTCATCAATCTCTTGCTTGGTGAACATTCCACTGCCAGCAAGAAGGTCCAAGAAAAGAGATCCGATTGCACCATCTACATTGAGGACCAGGTTATTGGCCTTTGAAAGAGTATATGTTTCAACTTGCACGGCATATTCCATGTACTTCACAGACGGGAAATGTGTGCGTGCAAAGCGCTGGAGAAGCTCCACCCTCTTATCTCTATTATCTCCTCTCTTGATCCTTTTCACACGAAGAAAGTAAAGAATTTCCAGTATTAGCTACGATCTATAATATATTACAGCAAATCCACTGTCTGGCGTTTAAATAAATTTAAGACAAGAATGATTGAAAACTCTGTACCTGTGCCCAATTCCTGGCACACGGATGCCCTGCTTTTTCATACCTTCTACAAACTCATAAGGTGTAAGGCTCTGACAAGCATATGAAGATAACATCTTAGGATGAGTAAAAACAATGTCATTGGAAACCAAGTCACCCAAGCCATATGTCCACAAATCTTACCCTATCGTAAGCATCCTTGAAGTATCGAGCAGCGTCATCAATGGCACCACCGAATCGAGGACCAATTGTAAGCAAACCTGACACAAGGCTAGAAACAAGGTCCTTTCCAGCTCTTGCTGTTACTATGGTGTTGTGAGCACCAGAGACACAGGGACCATGGTCCGCACAAAGCATAATGCATATCTGACCAGAGATACATATTAGTCAGACAACAGCTAAACCTAATTTTTTTTTCAAGAAGCTATGGTCCTAGAAAGAGAAGAAAAGGCCGAACCAAGAAGATACCCAACAAAGCTATGAGAATCAGGATAAAAGAAGAGGGAGGGAGAAGAGAAAGGTAAGTTAGGTGGAAGATTATAAGAAGCTTGATAGGTTTGAGAAGCCTACCTCAATAAAATGAGTACAATACCGAGGAAGGCTACGTTTGAACCACAACAGAGAAATAACGTCACCCACGCCATAACCTTGTTCAACTATGGAAGACATAGGCACACCAGCATAGCAAGGCTCCTCACCTGCAAATGAAGTACAAAGAAGAATTAACACCTTGCCTCTAAATAATTGTGGATCCCAGAATGTTTCAAAACATAAATAAGTTGTAGTTCTTCTATTGCCAAAGGAAGTTAGTGCTTAGCATGATAGAGAACATAAATAAATAGAAGTAATACCCCTGTCATCAGAAATGGTGGAAATAATATGAGTTGGAGCCCGAACTTTTCCACTCTTAATGGCACTATTAAGATCTTCAGGTATTTGTGGGGGCGTAACTTCCTTTATTGGTGTAATCTTTCCCTCCTCAACCTAAAAGGAAAAAGGCAAACAAGTAAGTTGAGGTACTTGTAGCTTGATGTTTATGAACTTTTGGTTGAGAAAGAAAGAAACTCACCAATTGGTCAAATGTTTCTTTAATTACAGCTTCAAAAGCTTCATAAGAAGTGGGAACAACAGCTCCAGCCTCCCTTAATGCTTGATTCTTTGCCTGTGCAGATTCCATCTCACCACCACTTTTAGCCCCCTGAAGACCAAGGGCAATTAAAGGTAAGGTCTCTTCAATAACAACAATGCTATGGTCTCACACAGAATTGGAAAAAGTTTTCCAAGAAAACTAATGCAATCACTTACTGCATGACCAAATTGTACTTCTGATTTGAACAGTCGTGCACAAGTTCCACTGACCCAAGCAACCACTGGTTTGGTTACTTTTCCCTGTTTCAGGGCTTCAACTAGAGAATACTCATCTCTTCCACCAAGTTCTCCAAGAACAACCATCATCTTAACCTGAGGTTGAGAAGAAAACCAGAGTGCTAGTCAACAAACAAGGAAATATCAATTCCGGTCAGTGTGTGTTTTATAACTTGCAAGCAACAATGCCTTCCAGAATTAGTAATACATTGACCACCAAATGATGTATCAACATTAAACTAAAGATACCAAATTTTAAATACTAATAAATAAAGATTATAAATTGAGGTTGCAGGATTTTAACTTTCTTAGCCATTCTTGCTGTTTACAACACAATCCCAAGGGGGAAAGTAATTTACCTGTGGGATGTTGTTAAACCGCAAAACATGATCAGATAGAGTTGAGCCTGGGAAAACATCTCCCCCAATTGCAATGCCTACAAGAGTTTCAAAATATATCCAGAAATTACTATATTATTATTTTATCCACAAGCTTTTTTTTTTTTGATCAGCATCATCCACAAGCATTTTGTTGCCATGAAAAGTGGAAAACTTAGGCAGCATATGAAGCCACTAAGTACCTTCGTAAATTCCATCTGTAACACGAGCAATTGTGTTGTACATTTCATTAGACATGCCACCCTGTGATTGTTGAAGAAGAAAAGAGAAGATATTTTGTCATGGATTATATATTCCCAGCAAAGCTACCATACTCTATGCCAAATGGCAATATGTTTGACCCATTTTGAAGAAGATTACTCTGAAGAGTATTGACAAATTGAAACTGTATATATTTAGAAGCATTATTCACATGAATGTTTTTAGAATATTTAACATTATAAGTTCAAGTCATTACTTAATCTAGAAAAAAGGGTTAATGATACCCACACATAATCTTTCAGACCATTTTAGCTTAAAATTACAGAATATACTGCAAGAATATCAATGAATGTTTTGTAATACCTTTGTTCTCTTTTTATTGTGATACAGCTCATCAGCTTATTATCAACTAGCTCCATTTCATAGAGGAGCAATTCACTAGCTATTTCAAATAGAACTATAAGGTTCCCAACTTTATATTTAACTAGTTCTATTTCAGAAATGAAGGAGCAACTTGGCTTAATATATTAATGACAAGGTAAAGCTATTTCAAACAGAATTCTACTGTTCCCTGGCTTTCACATGTCAGCATCATTATGTTGAAAATTTTATGTGTAAAGGTTAATGCATAAAACAAATTAGGTATAAAAGAAACAGTAACTCCAAAGAATGACAACATACTGATTTGGACACAAAGCCAACAGATCCAGGCCTGTAGAGCTTGCACTGAATAATGTTGTCAATTGTTCCAGCTGTGTCACCTATCTTAAAGGCTCCAGCTTGAATCCCTCCAACGGTAGCTGGGCCAATAACAACCTGCAACACCATCAATATTAAAACTGGATTCAGAATTCAAAAGACAAAGCAGATAAATCATAAAAAGATCATGTGCATTAGGAGCATGATTTTATATCTTCTGAATGCAGACTCATTGCATGCTTATGTCATCATCTATTTTAGTTCTAAACATCTCCCTCACCTTATTGTTGGCACGTGCATATGCAATCAACTGCTTGGTGTCTGACTCAGGAACACCTTCAGCAATTATCGCCACAACTCGGATGGTTGGTTGCTTCAGAGCAGCCATGGAAGAAGCAGCAGCACTGAAAAGAGTCAACATATAATGATAAAGAGCTGCAGAGAAACAAGTCCTGCCTCAGAAACATGATGACTTGCACGAAGACTAACCTTCTGAATGATGCAAAGTTAATGAAAACATCAGCAGTTGGATGTGCAGCACTTGCCGCCTCAATGCTGCAAAATATGTCAAGCCTAATGTCAGAGATATTAAAGCTTAGAAAGGCAAGTTCACCTTTCAAACTTGAGCATGACCGAATAAGCCATTAAGCATCATGTGGAAATTAATTTCTAATGGATATAGAAAGTGTATGAAATTCGTATGGTAAATCTAAATCTATCAGAACTTTGATCAGACTAATAATTACGATTAACTAACACAACCAGCTATTGTTAATATATAAGCAAAATTACCATGAGGGCATGCATGGCATTAAAAGAAAGTGCAGTTTCAAGACATATTCATAACATAAATACATTAGAGTTGAAACAGCAAATAATAGCATATCTTACGTTGAATGCACAGGGATGGCGATCTCCTCTTGACCAAAAAAGAGCTTCTGAAATCCTTCAGCTCCAGGATTAATAATACCGGCAACAGATGGTGTTTCCCTCCCTACACCCACAAGGTAATCAAACATCAATCGCAAATTCAGCTCAAACAACAAATTATCTCTGTAAAATGCCAGTTCAATATCCCTCCACTGATTAATAGAACCGCACCAACAGATTTATTAACCAGAAGTAACATGGAACAATAGCAATACTAACCACAAAGGAAGTCAAAATCAAGCATCCGCTGAATAGGAAGCTGCTTGTAGTTGTAAAATAAAGCCTGTGTAGTACGAGAAAACAGCTGTCCAGTAGCCATGGAATCTTCCACTCAAAGAACCTGCTAACAGATTCATCAAGCAGAACAGAACCAGAATTAGAAAGGATCAAACAAAACCAGAGCAAAAACTGAGTAGGAATCAACCAGCAACAGCAAGAATTCCTTCTTCTTCCACTCAATTTAAGCAATAAATGAACGTCTAGATCCAATTAGAGAACCAAACTGTCAAGAAAAGATCGGAAACTACACTACCTAACTCCTAGCTAAAACCTCACCGGATCTTGACAACTGAAATCAATTAAAATCTACAAAATGCGCTAAAACCTGATATCTCAGGCTTAAATAAAACGAATCAAGAGCTCGAAATCGCTCACTAAAGTACAAATCAGAGTGTCTACAGAATGTCCTCCAAATCATCGACGAATCACCGTATGAGTGAATTCAAAAACTGAGAGAAATTCGAATCAGAGAGGAAGAAGAAGAAGAAGAACAGATCTGAGAAATGGAAATTACCTGGACGGAGATCACTCGGCTCGCAGAAACAGACGGGTCGAGTGAGACAGAAATGGAATAACAATGCGGGAAATAAAGAAGGGTAGATGAGGGTTCTTATACGAGCGGAGTGGGAAATTGGAGGGAGAGAAGGAGGGAGGGAGCAGCAATGAGCTACCAGAACGAGAGGGAGGGTGATTGTCACGTGGCGCGTGGTAGTTAAGCGCACTCAACGTGCTTGCTTGATTTGGGTCCGGTTGGTTTTTTTTTTTTTTTATTGGGTATCTGTACTCTGTTCTCAGTTGGAATCAGTTTTAAATTTTTAATGAACCAAAAGCGTTTTATGGTATAAAATAATTTAAATGGTAGAACATTAAACGTCGGATGGGGAGAGACTGTTGATATTAGTAGCCTTCCTTTTATTAGAATAATAAATTAAGAAACCTTTTATGGAAACAATTTTTATTAGAAAAATTATTTGGAAAGTATTATATGAAAAATAACAAGATTTATATAAAAAGTTATTAAATTTTATAATAAAATTTTGTAAAATTTTTATTAAATTGTTATTTTTTTGTGTTTAATGAAAAATTATTATAGAAAAAATTAATAGAAAGCACATAAGTTATCACTCCCACTTTTTTTTGTGTCATTTTCTACCATCTTGACAAGTTTTTGTACACTTGACAAATTTTTTATGTCAATTTTTTAACAAATATAAAAATATTAATAATTAGACAAAATTTTATTAAAAAATTATTAACTTCTCTTATAGTGTAATACTTTTTAATTTTTTGTATAATATTTTTTAATAGTAACAATAACTTTTTCAATAAAGTTAGTTTGTAACCAAAGAGGACCTAAAAGTTTTTTTTCATGGCGTTTTAGTCCGTGATTGAATTTTGCTTCTGCATTTGCCGTAGATAAGGGGTGTGCTTAGGAATGTTATCTGCACTAGCTGCATTTGGTCAATTGGTCTCTCATTGATCTGAGTGTTGACTTTCTTTTCTTTTTTCAATTTCCTTTTTCATTTTTTAAATTGTGAGTAGCGCACTCTCGGCCAATTAATGATCAAATGCTGGGAACTGCTTTTTGGAATAATAATAGAGTTTTTTTAATATATATTCTTAGAATATAAAAATATATTAATTATATTTTAAATAAATTTTCATTAAAAAATTAAAA